GGATGGATGGATGGATGGATGGATGGATGGATGGATGATGAAGGATGGATGATGGATGGATGGATGGATGGATGGATGGATGGATGATGAAGGATGGATGGATGGATGATGGATGGATGGATGGATGGATGGATGGATGGATGGATGGATGGATGGATGGATGGATGGATGTACAGACAGATGGACGGATGGATGGAGGAATTGGTAGATGGAGGATCCATGATGGTCAGATGATGGATGGATGAAGGATGGATGGAATTAGCTGATACAGACAGTATTGGACCTGCCAGCCATCATAGCTGCACAAAAACTGCAACTGTCTTGATAAAACTCAGGGAAAAAAGGAAAATCCCTGAATAAATGATCCATGATTCTCAGATTTAGTGTCTGCATTCATCCAGCACCTCCTCTGCTGCCTCAGAGGATGACTCATTTTCTCATTGTCTTAAACATTTAGGAGTCTTCTACTGTATAACTGACTGGAAAACACAATTTTTACAATAGAAAAAGAGAATAGATTGCACGTGTGAATATATTTCACTGCCTGTATGTTAACATCCAATTAGATACGAATTATCTAACTGCCACACCTTTAGTTATTTGCTTTTTTCCCTAATAGGTTTGTATTTTCACTAAACAACCTGAGGCTTTTTCTCATCAAACCACCTGCTGCTCAAAGGTGAACAAAGGACAGATCACACCCAGCACTGATGTCATATTTCCAATAACAACTCGACTGCAGCATACCGGGTTAGAGCAGTGGCAGGAAGCCCAAATATGGCCGATATGGACCACATTCCTGCAAAGTTTAATTATTTAAGACTCACACAGGAAGAAATCACCGTGTGAAGTTCTGGATACATGTCGGCAAAGATCTCCACTTCCTGCCGATGAATTAAAGACGACAGTGAGCGTTACACAACCTAATCTCACATCACTGATCGCCCGATTTCTTCCATCAAATCTGCAGCTAAATCGTTCTAATAACCGGAGCCACCCGGTGTGTGAGAACCAACACCCTGACCCGGCTGCTGATGGCTCTTTCTCCTCTTGGGGGGATATCAGCATCTAGATTACCAAAAACTTTCTAATTTTTAGCTTTTCTTTTCTTCCCACTAACTGATTATTCATAGAAAAATATTTCTTTGTTAAACCAGCAGAAAGAGACACTTTAAAACCAAATCTTTTTAAAAACAGCTGCAAGTGGTTTTCTAGTTTCAGTGAAAAAGTATCAAAGATAACATAGTTTGACAGACAGGAAATAGGATCTGCATTACCAAGAGTTATTATCTGAAAACAGATCTGAACAGATATGATCTGATGCATGACTCTGGTTCCCATTCAGGTATTTGCAGGATATTTCTACAGTTTTCTAAGCTGCTCATCTATAGGAGCGTATATTATATATCAAGTTTCCCCAATGTTTTACTGTGAAATATTCAGCTATTAATGTCCCCTGATTTTAATAGGTGAACGAGTCTTAGTAAAACTTAGTCTGAGCTAAAACGCTAGTTTCTTTCTATCGTCAAAGTCAAAGTTACAACTGTTAAAAAGAAGTGTCTCTCTCGAGGGTGTAACTTTGCGATAAAACTTGGCGGGGACGCTCTGAGGGTGGTGGCTGATGGACGTACAGCTACTCAACCCGGACGCTTTCAACAGGGTTTGTATTTTCCAAAAATGAGCTCAAACATACATTTATTGAATGCTTTACTATTATTGAGAAAAGAAAAGTACCCCAATATATTTGTGGTATTTATAGCAGCAGACAGATGCCTGCCTTTAGTGCATTATTTTATAAAGGGCTTAAAAACATTAATATATTAAAAAAAATGACAAATAACAGCTGATATCCAATGCCAGCATCAACATATCCTGCATCCCTAGAATGGACACAACTTCATTTCCACCCATCCATGCATGGCTTCCCTTTAAGCTGCATCACTGATTATCCTCCTTCACAAGCAGCAAGATCGAATTTAGAAATGTGTCCCATGTGTCATTGACAGCCAAAGTCTATATATTGAACCTTATATTTCAAAAATCATTTATACACTGATTTGTGTTATTTGTGCTTTAATTCTTGTAGGTTTCTTATACTTTAATTTTAGGTCTGTGTCCTGTGCATCTGTCTGTCTCTGGGTTGGCTGGCACAGCTATTTCTGAGTCTCAGGCTACAAAAGACAAAAAGATATATTGAATTTTATTATAGCATTGCATATTTTTTCTTTTAAACTTGGAAACATATTTTATTGCATGTTACATGTCTCAAAAGTTCTGCTTAAAACAGATTTATGAACCTGTCTGCTAATATAATGATGCCAGAGAAAATCATTTTCAGGATCTCTAGAAGCTCTGCAGTCTGATTCTCTGTCCAATAAGAAAACAACAGATATGTGTTAATTTTAATCTGTAACTCTGAGGAATGGTCCTGAGAAGCCCAGCGTTTTTAACTTATTTAAATGTACAATCTGTTGCCATTTTAGCTGAAAAAGCTCTGTATGTAACAAAGGGATTTTTCTGTGGCATCTCTAATGATTTTAACCAACCCGTCTCCTAACATCTACCTAAACATATATCCGAGTAGCTGCCAGTAAAAATTCAATAAGT